CGAATATGCAGAATGCCCAGAATCTCTTTTGGGCAGTTGCAGCCGAGTAACTGGTAGCTAACGCCAAACTGGCGACCAGACATACCAAAGAGCTGAGTTTTGCGTGGAGAACCAAAGGTGGATCCGAATTAGGGAGCGAGTGAGAAATGATGCAGGTGTATAGTAGGGAGCCAAGCATCATGGAGACCATGAATGCCGAGAAAATGTAGCCAAGTGGTAAATCGACATTTGGTGGGGAGGATTCTTGCATAGAAGGTACCCATAAGAATACGAATAGGTACATGGATCCTTCGAAACAAGTCTGAGTCACACCGAGAACAATAAGAGAGGGATCTGTCCGATGGATGACGATGTGAGAAGGCTCTTCTGATATTATTATGATGCATACCTCGTCTGACGATCGACCAAGCTTGCTTCAGTCTTGCGACCTGGAAGATGTCGGTCTTGGCCGAGGTCGCTGCTTCTTGGTTGCCATAGTTCTCCGACCACATGGATCGAATGAGACCATAGCTGACGATGAGAAGGACAGCACTGAGAACAAATGGAGAAGCGAACGTGGTAGTGGCGGATACCAGTTCGTTACTGATAACACCGGCGGCTGCTGCCACAAAGCCATTGATCTGAGTGGCACGGCCAAAGATGGTGGAGAGATTGGCTGATGAGACTCCGTCTTGCTGAGAAGCAGAGACGAGCCATGAATCGAAGCAACTGAAGAGAATAGATGTAGAAAATCCAGCGATAAGGCGACCAACGAAGAGAATAGGAAGGAATGGGAACTGAATGCAGAAACATGAAAGAGCGTAAGATATGCAGAAATAGAGACAAAGACGTTTTCGACCGCTATTTGGGGAGAGTAAGAACCTAAATTTAACGCATTGAGACTGGGGACGTACTATTGATCGGCCCAAACCCCTACTAATGGAGCGGTCAATCCCGCTGAACAGAAACCAGTGACAAACAGTAATCCAACGATACGTTCCGAGTATCCGTACTGATCTCTATATAACGAATAAACATATGGCCCTTGCAGCCAATCGGCTCCTACAGATAATGCGCAGTTGTCACGTCAGTCGCGCTGGCGGTATCTTTGGCTTGGCACTCACCCATGACGACAGCATAAACAAGAAGATAACTCTTTTGTAGCAGGGAGTAGGCCCTCGCTGACTTATCTCCAATGATTCCGCCATTTAGAGGACGTGATCCCGGGTCTTGGCTGGCTGATGCGCCATTTTTCTTCTTTTGTCCATCAACGTAACGCTCAAGTAGTAGTGCCGCAATGCAGTATATAGTGAGGACGGTTAATTGTGATTCGTAAAAGCCTGGAACAACCATGGCTTAGATTAGATTGAAATGTCGAAGGAACGTAGTTGTGTGAGTTAGAAAAGAAGAGCGAAAATGCAATGCTTCAACGGACCCTCCTGTTGGTCCATTTTGTAATTCGCCGGGATGGCCCTGAAGAATTCTCGGATTTATGGCATGGCGCCTTTTTGCCATGCGACGGGGTCAACCCCACATTTGGCGTCGGCAGTGCAGTGCAGCAGCTGCGGTATAAGTCCATAATAACCTGTAAATAATATATACAACACCTACTAAACTACTTCCTAGATTAGAATACTCAATACATCTGCCGTCTATGGTTGGATCCTCCATCCTCAATGACCCATACCGAAATGCTGATCAGCACCAGCCAAGACGGATTCGGCTACAGTTTTTGTGCATGTAATCATGTGGGAGTGAGATACCTGACCATGATAAAACCATGCGGAAAGGGCCTTCAACGACAACTAGTCAGAGCCTATAAATTGAAATTGGGTGAGAATGACAACTCACAATCATCGCGTAGAAGCTACACATCATGAATCCTTCTACCCAGTTTGTCTTGCTGTCCTGGGTCACATAATTCACCAAGAAACAAGACCCAATTAAGACAATAACTTCGTATAAATCTGCCAATTATTTGTTTAGCTAACTGGTCAGAGTGGCGAATCAAAGTACCACCTACCGAAAAGCATGGACAATGGTTTGTTCATTCCCCATGAAACTAATATCAGGATAGGTAGCCAGAAGAGCATGAATTGGATGGAAGAGTCGATATCTCTTCCCTTTGCGAGCTCTGGAGGTGCTTCTGGATGCAACCTGAAGATCGATTTAACAAAATAGACGATGGCAACTAAGGCATCTCCAAGGAAAGACGCAAGGGGCAATAAGATGAGACCCAGCCATTCCTCCGTTATCTGCATCTTAGCCAATTTTAACACGCTGTATACGAGCTGTTTCGAGCCGTCGGTACAATGTTCAAGCACAACAAAAGACGAAGACATACCCATTCCGCAGTACCAACCATCAACCCAATGAGAATGATTAGGAGAACCACGCATACCCAAGGATTGATTTTTGGGCCATGCTCCAGCTCCTTCGCCTCCATTTCGGCGTGCAATAGTGAGCCTCTTGATGTGGGAGCTCTCTCGACATGGTCTGACGAAGGCGGGTTATGCAGGTACACTCGTGAGGCAACATACCTAAAGGAGGTCAGGACAATCAGTGCAAACAGGTCTCAGAGTAAGTCGAATTGATCTTACACAATGAATAAGATTATTGCGAGTCCTCGGCTCAGGTTCAAAAATGCGCCACGAACATCGTCGGTGACTGGAGTAAAGGGGTCCGTGGTTAAGTGGACATTGGATTCTTTGGCAGCTCGTTTGACAACCTCCGTTGCGGTCGTGGCAACTGTTTGGGAGGCTTGTCGGAAAGCTTCGGTCATTGGTGTCTCATTGAGCACCGCAAATATAGCTGCAGGGATCATGCATGTCAAGACCCTACAGGAAAGAAGGTTTGGGTCTGAGGTTCGAGAAATGAGTACCAAGGTCTTACCCTACAGTCATGAGTGGCTGATTGAGCTGCAATCATAGACATGTGACCCAAAAGTTAATAAATAGGCAAAGGATGAAACCAAAACATTTACGAAATTCTGACCTGAGAAGGAACCTCGAGCAGGTGTTGCTCGAATATTTTGGCGCCACCAGTAAGGAACGCCGCACCAGGGACGAGAAGAAGATGAAGTAAAACGACGCCTGCCGATTGGAAACTATATGAGCATGTGCCAGAGACACGGCCTTAAGATTCCTCACCGACCACGGTCGACTGCACCAGTCGTAGTTCACATTTATGTAACAGAATCAGCGCAAGGGCAGCTTCTACGGTGCTATTTTTAGAATTGTATTAGATCTCGGACAGTGTATGCAAGGAGAACACATACTTATGTAGTGAAATAGCGATGAAGTCGCCTATTGTATGGCCACAATACAAGGCGAGCTCCTCTCCGAGGAAGTCTGCCATCCTCTCTAATGGGACAAGTGCAAAAACTGATACTATTGAATGTTTGAGCAAAATTGAATCGGATCCTTGAGAGCATTCAGACTCACAACCAAATACAAGGCGTGCGTCCCAATGCAAGAAATGGGCCGTCCAGGAAAGAGGTACGAAAACAAAAAGAACGTTCATCCCTAGTAATAGTGCACAGTGTGAGCGCTGAGTTAACTGGAGAAAGTGCCCTTTCTGGACTTACAAGAAGAATAGAATACTCGCACAAGACTTTCCCATACACCAGGGATTACGATTCCGCTACTCTTGAGGCCACGGCCAGAGAGTCGGGAAAAGAAACTATGTCGGCGAGCAGCAATTCTTCTAGCCCAGCCTTCATTTGTTAATGGAACGCGTGTATCCGATGATGGTGGGTAAGAACCATAAACGGCGGGAGGTGCTGGGAGCGAACTGGGATCTTGGTCATACCCGCTCATTGGAGGTAGCGAATGTTGGCTGACGCGTCGAGAGTGATCTACGAACTTGTGGGGCAATTCTGGCCTAGGAAAGTCGTACATTCTTCCTTCAACTTGGCCGTCGGGTGTATGGGGATCACCATGGTGTGGTAACCGGGAGTACAACGTTGACTGCGGACTTTCAGACGTCGGAATTCTGTCCGACATAGTTGGAGAATGAGGTTGTAGTCGATGCTAAGAGGTGAATCCAAGCGATTAAGTAAATGGGCGCGCCTGCACCGCGTTTGTCAATGGTTTTTAGCCCACGTTGGTTGCAAAAATTATAGTTTCCTAAAATAACCCATTTGGGCACGAGTTTGAAAGGTACGGCCTGAAGATCTGCCGACCTGAATCAGGGAAAAGACGGGAGTGGCTAATCAAATCCCAATGTTACCAATTGCAAATAGCAAATAGAGTCTATTCAGAATCCTACCATCCAGTTAGCTTTTTCTCCACACCAGAGCATACCGAAGAGCGAACGATACCGAAATCGAGACAAGCTTGACAGTCGTCGCCATGGTACGAGTGGTGAACCCCAAGGGTCCGAGGTACGAAATATGTTTTTTGCCCTCCGAAAGGGTTTGTAGCGGATCCCACCGACGACGTGCGTTGTTTCTTACGGCACGTCAAGTCGACTTGGAATCAAGTTGCCCACCGAAGTGAAGCCGATATCCCGGCGACGCACTGCCTGCTATGGCTGCACGTCGATTACTATCATGGCTGAAAAATCAAGGGATCCCGCTAGTACTAAGGGACCTTAGCAAGCTTATTTCCTCACAGAGTGGCTTCTGAGTACTTGTACTGTATCGCTTGCATATCCGCTACTCGGTCACTGGTTGAAGGTCTTGTGGAACATGACACCTTGATTTCATGGCACATATCAATTGGCAGTGGTCCCATTGTGCCCTGGTAGGCTACTTGCCAGCGAGTACCTTGAAGTTTCAGGAAATATATCTGAGGTGATCAAAAGTTCAATCACGGGTCAACCCCTTGATACTGTTCAAGCCACGGTACAGGCACCACTACTGTACCTGTATTCAACATAGATTTTGAATGTTGGGAGGAAATTCGAGCCGGATTTCTTCATTCCTGTCCAATAATCATTGCCATCTGAGCAATGACCCCGTCACCGTCACCCAAAAAATGTTGGTGAAGCTGTCGAGGTCACACACGAAAAAATATATCTGCCCCCTGGCCGGATCGAACGACCGATCTTTTCATCGCATTGCGATAGAATCGCGAAAATACAAGTGAAACGCCTTACCACTTGGCCAAGGAGGCTCAAGGTGAAAGTCTACCTTAGTCCCTTCTACACGTTACACACAGAGTTAGGCCTAATGCAAAACATGAATAAGAGATGATAATGGGTGGAGTAATTTCCATCTATAATTTTATTACAAATACCTCGTCTGAGCACTATGCAGGAGGCTAAGAGAGGAAACAAGAGTCCTCATGTCTAGTGGTCCATCATTGCCTCTCCCTCTCCGCTATCCTAATTGCAGCTTCTTCTGCCATCCTCTTCAAAGTAGCGAATTCAGACTTTCCAGCAGATTTGCACAACGCATAAAACTTGGAATCCGGGTTTGAGAGTAGCACGCTCGGTTGATCGAATTCAACAATCCGTCCTTGATCGAGTAACATGACCTGTTGACGCAGGTTAGCAATATTAGTGATTAGAAGGATTCTGTAGTGACTGACCTTATCGTAATCGATCACAGTACGCAAGCGATGGGCGATAGTGATGATGGTACTTTCGGCGAACTCCCTATACACCATTGTCAATTAAGCCGTTGGATGCCATTGAATTATCGCATACTTACTGTCGGATTGTTCGGCTAATCAACTCATCAGTGGCATAATCAACGCTTGCGGTAGCTTCGGATAGCACACGTCAGCAGCACTACAGATGGTAAGGATATAGCAGCATACCTTCGTCCATCAAAAGAACTTTAGATCGTTTGAGAATTGCACGAGCCATACAAATCAACTGCTTCTCCCCAGCACTGAAATTCTCGCCTCCTTCTGCTACAGGTGAGTCTAAATTCCGGAAGACATTGACGTTTGATGTAGCTTCATCTTGCACCGCCTCTTCGTCATCAGTAGAAGGGATGAGATGCACTCTACGGAGGGCCTCAAACTGGAATATTAATCGAATGATGAGAAAGTACACCCAAGCAGTTGTAGTTTAGTGGACCTACAATTTCTTTGTCCTCGTATTGGTCGAACACATCTAGGGTTGATCGCAGAGTTCCTGACAGAATAGTGGGATCCTCTGCAATAAGATACTAATTCAGTGAACAATTCGCGACCCCAAGAGTGTCTTGACATACGGGGAATGATAGTCAACCGGGAACGCAAGTCCGTCAAACCAATCTTGGAAATATCGATGCCATCAACTCGAATTTGACCCTCAGTTGCCTCAACAAATCGGAAGAATGATAGAGCTGTAAATGTGTCAGCAGCAACCATAACCAACGAACATGATCGAACTGACCGAGAGTTGACTTTCCACCACTATTGTTGGATAGCGACAGATCAGTTATCATGTTTTGTAGAACTTCAACATGGAAACATACCCAGTCCGGCCCAAGACTCCAACCTTTGAGCGAGGCTCGATGTTGAACGTAAGACCATGAAGAACATTGGGAAGTTGGGGCTGCTCGACATTTGTTAGATCATTATACCTACGACTGATCGTTTGACTCTTACCGCATAGCGAATGACCAAATTCTCCACTTCGATAGCACCTTCTTGCGGCCAAGAAGCAGGCGGGCGGGGTTCGATGAACTCGGGAGGCTCTTGAGATAACTCGGAAAATTCTTGCACACGTTCGAGAGCTACCATGCTCTGTTCGAGACCGACGAAGCGTCGAACCTGAAGGAAAATATTCGTAAAAGTCGATTTCTAGAATGAAGAATATCATACCATGAAACTGTTGTAAAACATGTGTGAGCGAATATTGCTATCAAGTTCGGGGTGAATCACTTACAGAAGATCGCCTGTCACTGTAGAAGCAAAGGCCAGCGCAAAACCGGCGAAAGAAGCATCGACGTTTGGATTTAGAATAACAACCACACCCGTCACACCGACAACCGCTGACGACAACAGGTTGAAACGACATGATAGCCAGCGATTTACTGACCACATCCAGTAATACGGGTTCTGACAACACATTGTCAGAAAATCGGTCCGATTCAGTCAACAAATATGCAAAAGCTTACCGTATTAGTATCCACATGTTGCTGCATCTCCCGGAGGAACTTGGTTGACGCCCCGAAAGCACGAAGAACAGCCACTCCAGCAATACTTTCACCATAAATAGTATATAGTGGAGATCTAGTAACGGAGTCTAACCCAAATGTGTTAGGTTGAACTTCGATAGACTCATTTGTGCAGGTCTTACCCAGTCTACGCATGTCACGACTTGTCTGACCATATACTTTCCCGACTTGGTAGTAGAGTGTAGCTAGGACCACGGCTGCAAACAAGAAGCCTAATCCTCCAACATAGGTGACAGTGACAAAGGTGGTAAAGGCCGAGAGCGTGTACATCAAAGTGCGACCAAAATTGTCAGCCAGACTAGAATCAAGCCCTATAGAAACCATATCAGTAACGCCGTAGTTTCAATATAGGTCTACAGTTACCTTCGAAGTCCTTTCCGAAGCGGTTCAACAGTCGGCCACGGTTGATAGTGTCATGGAACCGAATGTGAGCGAAGAGGACAGCCTTCAACAGACGTTTGTAGAGAACGGTGGAAGCATGGATGCTTCCTTCGTAGAGCAAGATCCATCGGACTGTCTGGAAAACTAGTCCGGCTGAAGTGAGCTACATACAATGGTTATTCAGAAATCCTTATTCAAACGAGAGAAAAAATGGCTCACCGCTGCATAGACACCGATGTAGAACAATGGTTCCTTCATTTCCACATCAGAATCCGGATCCGAAAGACTTGACCAATACCTTTAATCGACTCGTTAGTAAGACAGCGATGGCTTACAATCCAACTCGAACTGACTCACCTCAACCATCCATTTTCTATCACAGGAGTGGCAGCAGCAATCAAGAACGCGAGAATAAACAATATCCAATAAATCGCGCCACCACAAGCTTTAATGTATGTCAACCATATCTTTCCACTAATCCGACCAACCGCTCTTTCTTCTTCCTGCACCAGTTTGCGGGGCTTCTTCCGTTCGACCGATTTTTGTACCTCACCGCTTTCGGTAGCTACCGCAGTGGACGAACCAGCAACAGACGAACCTTTGTCAGAGGATTTCTCTCCGTCATCAGATGTCCCTGGAGATAGCTCCTCTTCAATGAGTGTCTCGGAAGGTTTATCCATGTCCTTTTCATCTTCTTTGACGGCATCTACTGATTGTACGAGACTCGCCATCACATGAGAATCCCTGAACTCGTCTCTTCCTCCGCTGTATATCAATTTCCCGTTATCCAAGGCGACCTAGTACAAGACACGTCAGTTGGCATCAATACCTGGTTCATGAGTACTCACAATATAGCTTGCACCTGGAGCACAAAGTTGGACATGATGCGAAACTAGAATGACTGTCCTTCCTTTCAACAGTGGTCCCTTGAGCGCATTTTCATAAATATGATGAGCAGTGTGGGCGTCGACGGCAGAAAGAACATCATCAAGTAACAATACAGATGCTCTTGAATAGACGGCACGGGCAAGTGAAACTGTAGAGGACAAACGTGTTGAGCAAGGGAATGGAGACACAGCATATGCTAGGCCGTTCCCAGTCACTTACCACGAGCTTTTTGACCGCCACTAAGATTGACACCTCGCTCACCAATCTCAGCTTCATCACCATCCTCCAGAATCTTGAAATCAGGAATCAATGCACATGCCTGGTATCAACACGACAATCATATCACGGATTAGCTATCAACACCAATAACGGTTGTGAAGAGTTCACGTTACCTCTAATGTCGCATTGTATCGCTTTTCGTCATAAGGTAGGTTGAATAAGATGTTTTCCTTGATGCTCGCATTTTGTAACCAGGCTGTCTGAGGTACGTAGGCGCACACTCCCTCGACAATCCACTCATCCTCCGTGATCTCCCTGAGTTCTGCGAATTTGGCAATCGTATCAGGAGGTGACCTAGGTGTAATAATTTGACCAGCGAGCACGTCGGCTTCTCCAAGGAGAGCTATAGGAGATGATGTCAATCCAGAAAGTCGAACTAGATATATGCTAGCTTACCAAGGAGTAGCAACGTCTTTCCACTTCCAAGTTTTCCGCAAACCAAACTCAGTTCTCCCTTGGGGAATCTCAAGTTGAGATCAGTTAACGCGAACGAATGTCTGGACGGCGTAGCTGCGCTAGATTGGGTCGCTGTGGATGAACCTGTGGCCATCTTTTGATCTTTGGGCCAGGTGATCGTAGCCGAGTTCAAGGTAACGTCGCGATCAACGTCTTGTTCATGAAGTGGTGGGACCGCAGAGACTTCTTTGGAATGAAGATAGTTCTCGATACGTCTAACAGAGACAAGGGATTGCAGCATGTTGATGAAGGTTTCTGGAAGAGCATTCAACTGTTGATAGAGAAGAGTTCAGTTGAGGCCAGCAAGATCGAATAAAGGGATCAAATTTAGTTGCAAATACTTACAGCAAATTTGAGTTCATTGAAAACGGTCAACTGAATAAGAATGGTTAGAGTACTTATAGTACACGGTGTCATACTCCCTAGCACTCACCGATGTAAACGCAATGGATGGGGTAAGTGTTTCGCCCCTGATCACTGTAAAGTGCCAGAACGACACCAAAGTGACCAAGATAGGGGATGCATTCCTATGATCATACATGGTCATCAAGAGATGACTTCCTCCAGACATGGCTATACGCACCAGACCAAATTGAATAATGCTTCGATATAGTAGTTTCGTTTTTGGTAGTGCAGCTCTCGCTCACGGATCTTCAGCACTCGTTTCTCAAAGCTTCGTTCCCAAGCCATGAACTTGAGCATGCGAATGCCGCCAAGAATCTATTCCATATACGTCAGCAGCGGTGCTCGTGTTCTATATGGAATAGCTGACCTCATTCATGAGTCCCACACGTTCATCACGCGATTTCATCAGATTGTCCTGCGCAGAGATGACAATTTTGGAAGCATAGTGGTTAATCGGTAAGAAAACTATCAATTCAGAATCAGCACTCTGATTCTCGATATCCAATCCCAAGAGTGATAGCTTACGGCAAGTAACAGCCAATCCAAAGAAGCATGAAACTCCAAGGAGGTGGTACAAGAAGAATGAACCAA